TCATCTAAAATTGCTGATATAGATGAGACGCAACACAGAGGAATCTCATGTCGCTTTCGTATCCGATAACCATGGTTGTGAAAGATCCATTTGGATTCTTCTCAATCTCGACGATCAATTGCCTTCATTCGATTCAGATCATCACCAAGAATCAAAAGGATGAGTATAGGCCATCACATTGACACTCGGATACTTCCAAGATAATTTAGATTTTTGATTAATTTTGAATAAATTATCAAAGAAACTCGATCCTCGATTTCTTGGAGAAGATTAAAAAATTAATCAAAAAAAGAATCGGACCAACAACATCTATAGTCATAGTGTGTAGATAAATTACATTTCGTGCCTCGTTCTCAAGATTACGATATAGTACTTTCGCGCCGTTAGGAGGTCACAACAATTTTAGAGAAAAGAAAGCATCAACTTGTCGCCCGATCCTCATATTCTTTCGTTGTGCGTTGTAGGTTGCGTCGTAGGTGAAATAAGAGTGTTTCGTTCAACAATGAAGAGAACATATACAGAGATAGGAAATCTAAAGAAGAAGTTGAAAGATATACGGAAGCAAATTAGATTGCTAGAAAAACAGGAGATCTCAGACTCTTCGGAATCGGATATATCTAATATATCTAATATCGGAAAATGCAAAGGAACCTGATCAGGATGAGGGGACCTTAACCGCTAATTGTTTTCCCGTGCTTTTTCAGCGCGCTTACACGTAAGACATGCTGAGAAGGATTTTGTCCAATGCGCTTGCACGAGCGGCAAGATATATTGGAAATAAAACATAATCTGGATTTCTAAAGCGCTTGCACGAGCAGCGAGACAGGTTAAATTTCGACTTACAGTCTAATCCAATGCGCTTACACAAGCGGTAAGACATATGGGAAGTAGAACATAACCCCACTTTTTATTGCGCTTGCACGAGCAGCAAGACAAGCTAGATTCCGTACTCTTACAGTTTAATATAAACTTTTTTTTTATCTTAACTTTAACTTTTTTCCTTCATCGACCAAGCCTTATGTGTGTATATGTATATATGGGTGTATATATGATTGGTTGTTTGCTTAAATTAGATGAAGAAGTGGTAAGAAATAATCGTGAGCCAATCGTCCAAAAAGACGCTAATGCAACACCCGAAATTCTCAACAGTGAAGAGAATTCTTTAAATAACAGTACTAGAAATTTTAGGAGAGGATCCTGCAGTTCCAAAATCCTTGTCCGTGAATATTCACCCAACCTTTTTACAAAGATGGAAATATCGGATTACTAATGGCGTACCAAAGAAGGATAAAGAAGAGTTGCTACAGAAATATATCAGGCCAGAGGAACTGGAAGCACCAATTCTAAATCCAGAAATTGTGGCTAGAGGAATCTGCCTATAAAAGGGATTCTTACAAAAGAGGAACACGGAAGTTGGCTGGTTCAGCACTAACGGTAATCGGTACTCACATTATGTAGTCAAGAGGAGAAAAAGGTAGATAAGATGGATGTACTTGAACATTTGATAAACGCAGCCAAACTACTTGCAATGTTACACTACCTACACACAGAATGTAGGAAGGCATTTATAATGCCTGGTTTGGCAAAGGAAATTAAAGCAATCATACAGAATATTAAGTCAGACACATTTTTATTCGGTGATAAATTAGGAGAAAAAATTAAAGAGGGAAAATCTTTGGAAAGAATGGGAAAATCTTTCAAAGTCCAGTCTCCAAAATGGTTGGGTCCATCAAGATCCAGACTTCAATATTTCGGAAAAAAATAGCAAGAAATCACAGACAATAGGTCAATTTTAGATTATGTTAGAGATTATAAAATAAAATTTGATAAGAAAGTTTCTCAGGGAAATATTCCAAATGTTCATTTTTTGTCTGAAAAGGAGATAAATAATGTAAGATTAGCTATTTAAGTCTTATTAGAAAAAGAAGCAATCGAGACTTAAATAAATATCACAAAGCAGTTTTTATCATCCTATTTTTTAGTGCCTAAACGACAGGGATCTTTTAGATTTATATTAAAGAAATTAAATAAATTTCTCAAGAATCATCACTTTAAAATAGAGGATATAAGAACGGCTTCAAAGTTAGTAGTGCCAGGCAGCAAACATCGATTTACAAGATGCATATTATGCAGTTCCCTTACACCAGAGCAGTAAGAAATACTTAAGATTTGAATTTTTTGATACTTTGTATCAGTTTTTACCTATTTACCTTTTGACCTATCCTCCAGTCCTAGAATACAAAGCTCTTGAAATCCGTAATGAAATACTTGCGAGGAGGAGGTTGGGAGTCTGTCATCTATTTGATATCCATCGGAGACTCATTTGAGAATTGCTTCCAGAATGTAAAAGATACAATTGCTGTATTAGAATCACTAGGTTTTATAATTAACAAAAATAAGAGTGTCTTATTGTCAAACACTCGATGTAGATTCTTAGATTTCATCATCTTTAGTTTTTTTTAGAATTGCCCATAGATAAGAAAAATTCGTTGCTAAAATTATTAGTTTCCTTTTATAAAAAGAAACATTGTAGAATTGTCGAGCTCGCACATCTCATAAGCAAATTAGTAGCGGCCTGTCTTGCTACAGAATATGGGCGTCTTTACATAAAATCCCTAGAGAAAGCCAAGTTAAAAGCTTTAACTCTCGTTAAAGGAAACTATAATAAAAAAATAACAATTCTAGATTTATCTTTCCAAATCTAAACTGGTGGAAGGCCTTCTTAACCTCTTCTTCGTTCGGCATCATTAGGAGAGATAATTTCGATTTAGTGCTCTTTTCGGACGCATCTAAGTGTCGGTCCACAATAAGTATTTAATTTTTAAGCCGTAAGAAATTGACCAATCATAATCGATTATTCTTTTCATATTCGATTATAATTGGTCAATTTCTTACGTCTTAAAGCTTAAATCACCTATTGTGGACCGACACTTACACAGATTAGTGTCGGTCCACAATAGGTGATTTAAGCTTTAAGATGTAAGAAATTGACTAATTATAATCGAATATGAAAAGAATAATCGACTATGATTGGCCAATTTCTTACAACTTAAAGATTAAATACTTATTGTGGACCAACACTTAGGGCGCTACAGATAATAAAAAAAAGAGATACGGTTTTTGGAATAGGCAACAGAAGTCCTTACATATAAACTACAAGGAACTATTGGCAGTAAAATATGCACTAGAAACTTTAGCGTCGGAGAGACGAAACTGTACAATCTTATTACGTGTTGACAACACAACAGCAATTTCATACATTATAAGACGGGAAGCGTAAAGTTCTCAAGATTCAATAAACTGGCCAAGACATTTGGCAGTGAGCGGAGAAAAGACAAATTTTTCTATTGGTATCATATGTAGCATCCAAAGATAACAAAGAGGCAGACGAACTTTCTAGATTAAAAAATGATACGGAATGGGAATTGGTAGATTGGGCCTTCACTGAAATTATCATCTCTTTCGGGAGGCCAAAAATAGACTTATTTGCAACTTTCGCGAACAAAAAATGTGAGCTTTTTTGTTCGCGTTTTCAAACCCCAGAAGCATTTGCAGTGGATGCATTCACCATAAATTGGACACGTTTAGATTTCTATATCTTTCCGCCTTTCGCCATGATCCTGAGAACATTGCTAAAAATAAAAAAACGAAGCGATAGGAATTTTAATTGTGCCTAAATGGCCAAGCCAGTCTTGGTTCCGTCTTTTCGAAGAGTTATTAATTAACGAGTCAATAATTTTCTGTTCAAGTAATTCGTTGTTGTTGTCTGCATGCAGGGAAAATACATCTGCAGACCAAACATATGACATTAGTGGCAGGGAGAGTATCAGCCAGGCCTTTCTGAAAGAAAGGAAAGAAAAAAACCCAAGGAAGCAATAGAAATTTTAATGGCATCATTATCTAGCTCCACGATCAGACAATACGAATCAGCTTTAAAATGTTGATGGGCATTCCGCAAAGGATCTGAGGAAAGAAATCAAACTCAGCTTTACTTGCCTTCTTAACCGAGCGTTTTAGGAAGGAAACATCCTATAGCACTCTCAATATGCGCAGTTTCCCTAATATCATAGAGGAAGATAGGTGATTGCGAGATAATTTGCAGATTTATGAAAGGAATTTTTAATTTGAGACTGGCAAGACCAAAATATGTATACACATGGGATGTCTCCATCGTCTTAGGATATTTAGAAAAGTTGTATCCTTTGAAGAATTTGTCTTTATGACACTTAACAGCTAAGGCTATAACTCTCCTATGTACAGCTCACACAGCACAAACTCTAGCAGTAAAATACATAACATTTTTAAATAAATAACATTTTTATAAGGCTAAACGATATTGAAATCAAAATAGAGGATAGGAAAAAACTTCAAGTCCTGGAAGATATCAACCTCTACTGATTCTTTCAAAGTTCAACGATAAACTTAATTTATGTGTAGTATTAACTCTGTTCAGATATTTAAATGTTGTTAGAACACTAAGAAATACAAGCTAGGCTTTACTTATAGCAATTAAGAAACCTTAGTGTCGGTCTACAATAGGTGATTTAAGCTTTAAGATGTAAGAAATTGACTAATTATAATCGAATATGAAAAGAATAATCGACTATGATTGGTCAATTTCTTACGGCTTAAAGATTAAATACTTATTGTGGACCGACACTTAGTGTCGGCGAAATGTAATTAAGAGTCGAACGAACTTATCTGTAAGTGAAGTTCAGCTGTAATTATATAAAGAGCCTCGTTCGAAGAGATTATGACCCATCCAGAAATTTCTTAAGAAAATTTACACCCAAATTTAAAGCAATTTTAAACATCTCTAAACATCTCTAAAATATGAGGATCGACAAGTTGATGCTTTCTTTTTTCTAAAATTGTTGTGACCTCCTAGCGGCGCGAGAGAGTACTACATCGTAATCTCTTCGAACGAGGCTCTTCATATAATTACAGTCGAACACTTCACTTACAGATAAGTTCGTTCGACTTCTTAATTATTTTCCATTTTATAAAAATATTAGTTACTTATCTGATATTTATTCCTTCTCCATATTTCTCTTTATTTTTCTTTTACAATATATTTTATATTTACGGTTAGAAAATACTTATTATTTTATATACGCACATGTCATATGACATATACATATGCATATACATATGTCAAAAAGACTTCTGCAACTAATAGATTACTACTTAGACAGTATCACCAATCCACAGAAATTAATTGTTATCTAAGAATTTTTGTTATTACTAACATTATCTCCTCTTTTTTTATGGAAATTAAATATTTCCCATATTTAATTAAAAAGCTTTGAATGAAATAGAATACATCTTAAATAAAAATAGCAATAAAAAAAAAACGAAGAAATATGAAATTGTGAAATTTGTAAAATATATTTATTTATATACTTTAGTGACCTTTAAAAAGAATAATTTTTGTACAGATATAAATAATGAAATCGTGTTTTTTTCACAGAAGTTTTCCCTCACATTTTAATTTTATTTGTAAATATTCTAATTAAATATAATTTTGACTTATGCTTTCTAATATACATCTAATTCTAAAACATGTTTCGCAATTTTTAAAAATTATATAGTTTTAAATTTCTAAAAACATTTACAATATGCGTGTTTACATGTTTAAATTTTATTATAATTACAAAATAAAAAATAAATGAAGTATTTTAGGTTAAGACAGAATCTATAGTTGCTTATCCATAGGACATTTTATGTATGTGATTTTTATAGATTTCATATTTCGTTTGTTGTTCTTGTTGATTTACAGTCTTCTACAAAACAATATAACTATTTTATACGATTATTTATTTATAAAAAACAATTTTTGCTGTTGTAAACACAGTAAGATACATCACAAAAATTAATTCCTACGATAATCACTTAGTCATTTATGTGTCATAAAGCTCTTACAATGTGAAGTTCGTACTAGTAAGTAGTATTTTAAAGAATTAGGGACATAGTATAATTTTGTAATAAACTTGTACATTAAATTAATTTACAAAGAATTATTTATTTGTCGGTATCTGTAAACTGATCAATGGATTTGAAATGCGAGCGTGATATCTAGATTTAGCAGACGTTGCCCCTGACATAGCTTCTCTGTCAAATTTTCTTTTCCTTCTCTCTATTCCCATAACTTTTTTCAGAGTAGGTGGCACTATATATTCAGGTACGTCTTTTAAATGTGGTTGCAATTTCACGGTATGTAATGTCTTGTCTTGACGTAACGACTTCAGGTCTCGTGGATTATCTTCGAAGTAACTCTTCAGTTTTTCACAGTTCATGATTTCTTGTTTAATTTCTTTCAATCGAGCTTCTCGAACTGCAATTCTTGTGACGGCCTTCCAAGCATCTTTCGCACGATATCTAGAATTATCAATTTTTGTTAAATAAATTAGCATTGAAAATAATTATGCAAAATCAAAAAGAAAGTAAAATTACATATGAATATAAAATTATGTATGTACGTGTGTATATGCGTAGCGCATGCGCTCACGCGCGCGCGCGCGCGCGCGCGTGTGTGTGTGTGTGTGTGTGCGTCCACTGTCCGTCTGTGTTGCTACTGCGCGCGCGCGTAAGAGCAAAATGATATTGTTTAAAAAATGTTTAATTATACTTTAAAATATACATTAGTTATATATTAATTTTAATTATATATAATAAAATCAGTGTTAAGAAGTAACTCGTTACAGTTAGAGTTATTTTTTTTCAATAACTATAACTTAACTTCGTTCCTTTTTTTCTATTTATAATTGTAACTTAATTATATATTTTTTAGTAATTAATAACTAATTTAATAGTTATTTCCATCATTACTTTATATATTTCAAATTTATTTGTCATTTAGTGCTATTATGTCATTCTATTCTTGTTTTATATTTAATGATAAAATGACAATGGCTATGTTCAGCAGAGAAAGCAATTTTGCAATTGTTGTAAAAATCTTTGATATGATGGATTTTTATTAGTTTCTCTCTTAGTTTCTTATGGATCTAAATGTATAAATTAATCACAATATTGCACAGTTACGCAGTTTGAGTTAAACACAGCCAATAGCAGCCAACAGCCTGCTTCTCACATTTTTAGGCTATGTTCAAAATTTGACCCCATATATCATTTTAGCTTTATTTTTCAATGTTAAACAAGAATAAAATTATGTGTAGGAGCATGTATTCGGATGACGTTTCCAAACTTAGTCTTAATGTGACTGGTTAGATGTAAAATAAGAACCAATCAAATTCGACTGCTATAATAAATTTTAAGTCTCGCTTAATGTCGTTGCAATCAGTCTTTAGAAATATATTATAAGAAATATATTAGAAATATAAGATTTTTATATTTAAAATAGCAATGCACAAAACATTACAGGAAGTAAACAGAAAAGTAACTAAAAAGTAACAACTCGTTATTATTCAAGTAACTATAACTGTAATGTATGTAACATGTTATTTTTTTAAAGGAAAGAATTATAACTAATAATTGTAATTAGTTACTTTTACAAGGTAATGTTTCCAATCCTGAATAAAATAGGATTGAATAAATTGGATTATACATACCGAAAACCTTCCACTTCTTCCAATTTAAACTGATAAGTTTTAAATAGATTTTCACAACTGTAAGCTTCCTTCAATTTCTGTTCTACTTCTTCCATCAATGGTCTTTCTCTAATAGCTACAAAACTGAGGGCAGTTCCCTGATTCTTCCCACGAGCGGTACGACCTACTCTATGTATATAAGAATTCAAATCTAATGGGAAATCAAAATTGATTATGTTAGATACAAACTGAAAATCAATGCCGCGTGCTATGCCTGATTCCTTATCTTTTTTTCGTTTGCTTCTTTTTGTTTTTATCACATGTGGCTGTAATGGTATATAAATGGTGAATAAATAGATAAATACAATAATATTTATATATGAATAAAATGTCTTCATTTCATAATATATGTTTTTACCTCTTCTAGTACTTTTTCATCCGATGCTATTATAATGTCATAAATGCCATTGTTGAATTGTGAAATTGCTCTGCATCTCGAGGTTGCTGGTAATTCGGAATTTAAAACACAAGTTGGAATACCAAATTGTTCTAAGAATAATTTTAACTTGTAGCATCTATCTACAGTATGTACAAAAATTATAGATTTTCCCCTAATAAAAATAAAAATATATTTACAATAACTGATAAATATTATTTTCCAAAAGTTATATATCTCAAAGAAACTTGTATATGTAAAATTACCGAATTAAATGTAACTTCAATAAAGCATATAAAATAGCAGCTTTATCATTTTCCTCTGCAGCCAAAGTATAATGACTTAATTGCGTAGGAGGAGCTAATGGTGGTTCTTCTAACTTTAAAATTGCAGGATTGTGTAGAACCAATTTTTTCAAAGTTTGAACATCTTCAGATAATGTAGCAGATGCTAAAACAGCTTGATATGCTGTTGGTAGATAAGTTAACACTGCTTTTATATCCTTTTCATATCCAAATGAAAACAACTGTAACAATAATGATTATAAATATATATTATTAAATGATAAATCACAAAATCTTATAATTAAGTTTTGCAAATTATATGATACAATTACATACCAAATCAGCTTCATCAATTATCAATGTATCAAGACTATATTTCAATATCAAATTTTTTGCTTTCAAATGTTGCAATAATCGACCTGGTGTAACCACAATGATATCTGGCATCTCGGTTAATAAAAGTTTTTGAGCATTTAAGTCTATTTGTAGACTAAGATCAATTACTCTAACCTCTCTACAGCATTTTATTGTTAGGCTAACAATAACATCATGAATTTGTTTGCATAACTCCTTGCTAGGTGCAATAATTAGACTCTTAATCTTCTGTTTCTCTTGTGTTCGCTTATTTATCAATATTTTTTGGATAAGTGGTATTGCAAAAGCAGCAGTCTTGCCAGAACCTGTACGAGCCCTGATTAAGAGATCCTTTCCTTCTAATAATAATGGTATTGCTTTTTCTTGTATTAATGTAGGTTCTATCCAG